CCATCCTGAAATTTGCATTTATTTGTGGCGTTTTAGGAATTGCTTTTGTCTGGAACGGAGACTCCTGTCTTACCGCCGTATTTGTCTTCGGCTCTGCCTTCCTCGGAAGAACTCTACGCTGTGCAAGTTAAGCATGTCGTCTCACCCAGTGAAGTATGTAATCTGAATCATCAATTGGTGATTAAAAAGCCAACAAGCTATCTCGGTCTTATTAAACCACTTCTCCATCTTCCTGATTTTAAATAACTGAAAATTAGTCACCTCTAGTTTGTTCCACCCTAGAGTGTCCTCTTCAGTTGTTCATATTTACAGCAAGTATTTCTTAAGCAGCTAATGGGTTCCCAGTATTGTGTTGCTTTATTCAATGTTGTGTTTATGGCGAATATTTAGATTTTTAAGGTGGAACTGTTTCTACCTGTGAAATCTTGAACATCTCACCCTGCCCTGTCTTTCCACACCGCTTCCTTGTTACGTTTGTTGTCTCCCTCTGGGAATGTAACTCCGTGAAGACAGTCTGTGTTGTTCATCGAAGTATCCCTAGAACCTAGGATAGTACCTGACACAGAGTAGGCACCTGGTGAATACTGACTGAGTGAATGAATAAACACACTAAAGAAAATTCAGTGGCATGTCTTTGGCTAACAGAAAGAGAGGAAGAAATGATAAGTAGCATCAGCAGCTGCTTCAGCCTTGCACACAGTAGGCTGTTCTCTTGCAGGCAAGGGAGGGCTCTGCTGTCTGATTTCATCAGAGGGCGTGGTAGTGTACAGCTTTTGCTGGTTTTTATAGTGTTTGTATTGGTTGTTTGCTACGTAACAAACTACCCCAAACTGAGCAGCTTAAAACAGTACAAATGAGGGTCAGGAATCTGGGAGCTGCTTAAGTCCTGTAGCTCAGGATCTCTCATGAGGTTGCGACAAGATGTTGATGGGGGACTGCAGAAGCCACTTCCCAAAAAACTCTCACGTGAGGCCGCCTGGAGGGCTCAGTGTCATGCCTGTGCCCGGGCATCTCTGGCTGTCTGCTCACAGCGTGGCTGCAGCGTCCTGGAGTGTGCAGTCCCTGGCAGAGCGCCACCAAGACAGAAGCCACATGTCTCTTATAATCGGGTCTCCAGCGGTCCTGCACCATCACCTCAGTCGTGTTCTCCTGAGCACAAGATCAGGGTGGAAGGATGTGGGAGGGACACAGGGTGAGCATCAGGAAGCAGTGATCCCTGGGGCTGTCTGCCACAGTAAGTTTGTCCACATCAATGAATACTAGAAGTTACAGAATTTGAAAGGTTTTTTTCCTTTCCTTCCCTCCACTTAGGTGTATATTTGCCTTGATTCTGTAGAAAATTGTAATCAGTATAACCAGCACAGTGACACAGATGATAGTGGAGTCAGCTGGGAGTCGGAATCCGAGAGCCTGGATGAAGCGCTGCGCAGGTGCAATAAGGATGTGAAGATGTTTCCTCCTCTGACAGACTTTAGAACAGGTATATGTATTACTTTTTGAATGAAGTACGATTTTTTTTCAGAATATTATGGGGGTACAAACGTTTTGGTTACATGAATTGCTTTTGTAGAGTTTGAGTCACAGGTACAAGTGTGTCCATCACCCAGTTAGTGCGCACTGTACCTGTTAGGTGCGAATTTACCATTCCCTCCGCCCCTCCCTCCTGCTTCATTTCCCTTGAATTTTATTAGCATATGTGCACATGAGTGTTGATCGATTAGTTCCACTTTAATAGTGAGAACATATTTGTTTCTCCATTCTTGCAATACTTCACTTAGGAGAATGGTCTCCAGTTCCATCCAGTTTGTTACAAAAGGTATCAGTTCACCATTTTTTTTCTTTTATTTCAGCATATTATGGGGTTACAGATGTTTAGATTACGTATGTTGCCCTTGGTTCCCCCCCCCCAAGTCCGTGTTTCAAATATGTCCATCCTTCGGGTGGTGCGCATTGCACTCCTTGTGTATACAAATACCCGTCCCCTCCTCCCTCCT